AAAAAAATAAATCATTATAAAACATACGGAATTTTGATATAGAATCATTAATTACATATACAAACCTTATAAAAAACATATCATTTCCTTATTTTGATTTCTTATAGGGTATCCTATTTTTAAGAAATTTGATAATATAAATAAATAAAATAAAGAAATATAAAGCTATATAATTGATTACTAATACTAATTGATTATTAATGAAAAAGAAAGTTTTGACATTTTCTAGGTTTTCACATAACTTTTACTTATCCATTTCTTGTATATCTGGCATATATAAACAGATTTGGCATATTTTGTATATCTGTCAGGATTAGCAGCTTTGATAGATATTATGGTGTAGTAAAATTAGGTGATCTATTCTACCAGATGATTTGCAATTATTTCTTCTATTACAATATAGCCTTTATAAGTTTTTTTTTGATTATTTTTTAATTTTCATTGGATATGACATATTAATAAATTTAGTATTTATTAAATTTTTATAGAAAAAAAGTAAAAAGCAAGAAATTTGTGTAAAAATAACTGTTACAAAGAAATGTATCACAAATGAAAAAAAAATGCATTTATAAAGCATAATTTATTATCTTTTTATTGTTACAATTTTTTATATTTTTTTTAATATAAAATAAATGTTTAATATAACATAATCTTATATTATTTCATTAAAAAGAAAATAATAATATTTAAATTAGATATTTAAAAATATATTTAATTAGAGACCTTTGCAATAGAAAAGGTGGAACTGCCGGGAAAGAAGTAATTAATTTTTCATAACAATCACGATTTATTAAATTACTAGATAAATTATACAAATATATAGAGATAAATATAAAAAATTTTTTGTGCTAATACATTATAAAAAAATTTTTTTTAAAAATTTTATTTATTAACCATAATCACCAAAAATTCCAACATATCTTCGATCAAACCAACCTAAATTAAAATTAAAAAAAATAAAATAAAAATAACTAATAATACATGAATTACACTTCTAAATAAATTGGATAATTTATAAAAATAAATTTATTTTATAAGTTTTTTATGTACAAATACCATTACGAAAAAGAGACCAATCTGATAAAATAAGAAAGACAGATCATCTTTACATTACCAAACTGTTTTGTTCTCTTAAAAAATTAATGAGTATCCATAATATCCATTTTATTTAAACCGGTAATGACATCGTGAAATTGAAGATCATCCTGGTTCTGTATTTTTGCGGCTTGATTATTCAAATACAAATTATCATGACTGTATGCTGCTGGAGGATCTGCTGGCGCAGGATTATGTGAATTCATGTGCACATAATGATTTACTACTTCTTGGTGGTAATGACCAAACGGATTTGTATTTGTTGGAGTTGTATCACCTGAAGACGGTGGAGAATAAGCTTTGACATTAATAGTTACTTGTGGTTGAGTAGTTGAATTGTGGTCATTATTATAATTTTGTACATTATAATAATGATGAGTAGTATAAAGTTCATCGTGATGATTATGAAAGAAATAGCCGGTCTCTCGGGCAAAGAAATCATCCTTTTTATAATGAGCCCAATTGCCGGTAGTTGTAGGGTCACTTAATACTAATGGTGTAATTGGGGTCATTGGTGATGATATTGGACGAAGTAACGGACTTGAACCTGGTGTATTTAGAGGCGGTTTTGATGTAAAACTTGGTGATATCAATATATTGGAAGTTTTTGTTGTAACGAGGTTCGTTGGAATTGGACGCATTTTATTCTTTTGCTGAGATTTTTATAAAGAAAAAATTTTGTTAAATTTGTTTATTTTCTTCTTTTCTTTTTGCTTTTTTTCATTTCTTTGTGAAGTATTTTTTTTTTTTTTTTTTTGTAAAAACATACCTTTTAAAACTTATTTGATAAATGAAACGGTCGATTATTAAAGAGTATGTATATTTTTTTTTTTAAAAAAAAAAAAAAAGAAAACCTAGAATGAAACCTCCTCCTTATATATATACATACTTTCCCATAAATATAGACACAAAAAATTCAAACAATATCTTCTACAACAAAACCACTTTAAAGTAATATATATAAATAATAATGATATCATACTATAATTCAATTTTTTTTTTTGTGGGGTGAACGTCAGAACTCTGTGGTTTGATTTGTTGATATAACTTTTCCCTCCTTAAAGCCACACAATCTGTTTGTCACAAAAAAATCCCCCACCAAAATTTCCAAAAAAATACGAAAAAACTTGTGATTTCTATCTGATCTATGTTTTGTACACATAAATATAAATAAAACTCCACAATATGCATATACAAAACTTTAGACTATTTCAACACATGTACGTAGTATGGTGAAATCACTTTACCATTCCCCCTTCAAATACACTATATTATTATTAAATTTTTTTTTTATTAAAAGTTACACAGAATTTTTTTTTTTTGCGGAGCGATTTTATCATAATACACAAAATGAAAACAATAAACAAAAAAAAAGGTGATGATGCAGAGGCAAAACCTTTTCATTCACATTGATGAATTACTTTTAAAGTTTAGTTCTTTAGCTGATAGCAAGTAATATACTGGTATAGAACCACGTTTGACATTAAACAAAGGTCCGTGCTTCCTTTTATATTGAATCAACGACTAAGGGTCCATTTGATTCACATTTATTACTGCGCCAATCATCAAAATAAATTTTCGTTTAAAATTAGTTTCACATTTTTTACAAATTGATCTTTCTTTTCTCCTTTTGGAAATCTACATAAATATCTTGGCCATACAATATCATTTAATTCTACGTCTTCATCCCCAATCTTATTATTATATGGGATCACACTATAATCTTCAACTAATCCCCTAAGTGTTAACCAAGTAGCATTGGAATTTCTCTTGGCAAGCTCCTTAAATAATTCAATTGCTGAATTTTGAAGCTCCTCATGAACTTCCTCATTTAAAAATGGCCACATGCTATCCATAATTTGTAATATAACCTGGTTAGATAACGTCACTTTACTAATTATGGTTTTTATTGTTTCCAGTATGGACTTTTTCAGTCTATGAGAACTAGAAAATGTTGTAGGTGCTATTCCAATATATTCTTTATCCTTCGTATCTTGCTGGCCTAACAATTGCTGAAATGATGGCCATACGTCTTGAACTACTCGACTTGTAAAAAAATCCCCGCTTGAAATTGAAATGTCTTGGATAAGTTTAACTGCACTAAGAACAACGTATGATTCTTGATCCTTTAATCGTTTAACGGCCGATGGCCATATCCTATGTATTAAAGGATATAGCTCCTTTGGGATAGATTGTAATACTGGAAGTGAAATCCTCATAGCATCCAAAACTATTGAACGTAATTGTGGTGATGCTGCTGTGAGGAAGTGAAGTAGTTTGTCAATAATCTGGAGACAAGTTGATTGTGATTGTGTCGGTTTCGGTTTTTTATCTTCTTCATGTTTAACTCCACTTGGATCATGCTCCCTTTGAATGTCTTCTTCATCAACTTCCAATTCTTCTTTGAAATTTTCTTTCGATTTTTGACGTTCCAAAAAATATTGTCCAATTTCCTCAAGAGTTGCATTGTAATTCGATTTTTTAACTCTGGGGGTTTCCCCCTGTTTATACCGCTTAACAAATTCTGCAATCTCTATAGATATTCCAACTTCATTTTCTTGCGAACTGGAATTATCATTCACTTCCTCTTGTAATTCCTCCTTTTCTTCCTCTACAGATTCAGAGATGGCAACAATAACTGCAAATAATACATTTGCTAATTGATTCAATAAATACGAATTCATATGATGCGCATCCAAAGCATCAAAGATTTCTTCTATTGAATCATCCAAAAAAGGTAACACGGGCGGTCCAACCACACGGATCATGGCAGTGAGAACTTGAGGAGTTCGAGGATTAACGATAATCTGTGAGAGTCTTCGAGAAACAACATTGACAAGATAATCCACATTTTCCAATACTAATGTTCTCTTTGATGAATACCCACACCATACAGAAACGTGAGTTAAAGTGATATCAGCTGTTTCATGTACTAGTCTATTATTTTCTCCAAGTTTTTCTAATATAGGATAAAGAGCATCCATTAATTCCACTCTAAACTCCATTCCTAAAATATGTGATATCGCTGCTATTCCCTCTAGAATGAAACAATTAATTAAAATAATACGATTTTGAGATTCCATGTTCATATTGGATGTGGAAAATTTTTTCTTCTCAACAAATTTGTTTTTATTGGATACTACTTTCGTGGTCGAATCAAAATTATTGATGATGTTGAGTATTACATCTGACTCTATATATTCCTTTAAAATTGATCTAGCTATTCTTTTCACATCTCGTATTGCATTAACTGGTTTCATAATGATTAAATTTTCAAAATTTAAATCTGTCCTCATGTTAATTCCAGCTGCTCCAAGTAAGATTTCCTTGAGAATAAATATACATTGTGCATATAACCTTGTGGATTCTTGATCCCTGAAATATGCAAGGAAATGATCAATTAAATATGATATGTTACTAAAATATCCGAGCAATCGAAAAACTGTCGATAAACATGTCTTGACGCGTTGTTCTCTAATGTGTTTATATTGTGGTTGAGGAAAATGTGGCAAAGTGCGCTCAGAATCTTGAGAAGCAGCATCTGTAGGTATAACACTTTCATTTTCAATCGTGTCATACTGCCCAATTAGCAATCGATTTTCCACGACTCGAACGTCTCCCGTATCAAATTCTAACGCGTTAAGTAATCCATCTGATACCCTTTGTAATGAAATATTCAATACTGTTTGTACATCTGATCCCAAAAGAGAAACAAACCCTGCTATTAACGATAAAGCATTATATTTTGCATTTTCATCCAGCCCGATTAAATATCTTGGCAACGATATAAGCCAATTATTAAAAATTTCTTTTAATATTGGTGTAAAATTTTCCTTAAAATCGGAGCGTGAACGTAATAAATCCAAATTTTGTCGACATGGAATCGAAACTTGAACATAATCATCATTTAAATAAAATACAAGAGTTTCGATTAATATAGGGATACAATTATCTAAACATTTTGCACTAGTAGAAAGAAGCCTATATGCAAAATTCACAAACGCTAATCTAAGCTGCCATGCAGAATGATTACGTATTGTGAAAATTTGACACATCAATAGTTTAATTTGTGCTTTCGTCGCTCTAAGCCATGACTTAGTTCTTTCTACATAAATGGATGCAAGCATTGATTGTTGTGATTGTGATGACTGAGTTGACGTCGTCTTAAAAATCGCTGAACTTGTTTGATTAGCAAAAGAATCGGTATTGGGAAATAAATCTTTTAAATCGCTCAGTGATCCTGTTATAGTCAACAAGCTCTTGTTAACTTCATCATTATCGTTCATGACTTTAGTAATGATGACGGATAAACTTTCAACAATTTTTGCTAATAACATATGGTTCTCCTTTTGGTCCCTGATTAAAGTTTTACTTAAAGTGCTAACCATTCCAGGCAAGAAAGCTGCAATAATTCCAAGTTCTTCTATGCTATCAACTAAAATTTGCAAAGTCTCAAGGGAAGTTAATCTTAGTTGTAACAAATTTTCATTAGAAATAATTTCCAACAAAACATAAACACAACGACCAATAAGTGCTCTAAGTTGAATACTCATTAATTCTTGCAAAATTAACTCACGTCGAATTTCAATTTGAAAATGATCTATATTATCCACATTTTCAAATGATCCAGAGTGTACTGGCATTAATGCTAACATACACTTAACACATGCAAGTTTAGATTCTTCAGAGATAGTAAACTCTGTTAAAGATGATCTATTAACAGTTTTTGAGTCAAGAGTAGAACCTCCAATAATACTGACAAATAAAATCAGAAGCTGTTTGAATTGATCGGGAACCATATATTTTTGCCAACTTGCAGTTAATAAGAAATGAATACAATTCAGAAAACCTTCAATAAATCTATTACTTTGCTGTAGAACTGGATTATTATAGAGTTGAAGCAACGGAAAATATACATATTTGATCAAATTGTAATCAAATATCCTGGATGGTTCCGGAATTGAGTGAAGAACATTAAGCAAATTGTCGATGGTTTGAACTATTTCATGAGATTTCGAAGCTGAAACCGATGTTGATTGGATGAGGGATACACATAAAGGTTTTAACTGATGCAGCATTTCCCATAAAAGTTAAATTGCTGTTTTTATTTGTTCAGCAAAAAAGACTGTTTTCGAAGCTGGATATAAAGTTGAAGAGACTCCAACCTGAAGGAATACTGCTTGACGTTGTGTGTCAAGACTATCATCCACCATTTCGAAGTTGTTCATTTCGGGAGAGAAATCAACAAGCTGATAGGGTTTCGATCCTGTTTTTTAAAACTATTCGGATAGAACCCTCCGTTATTATATCCGGTTTAAAAATCCGAATTTAGCACAATCTGAAATTTTAGGGATCATCTGTATAAAGATCAATTTATTATTTAACTTTATTCTTCATTCCGATTGAATGCAAATCGTAGCTATAGCTAGTTCTTCAACAACTTAAAGTAAAAACTGTTACTTCCTGTCATTTTAAATAGCGAGAATCTCACGTTCCGGGTGATTAAAGTCAAAAGTTTTTTGCTTAATGATTTCAATAAAATTTATAAAATAAAAATTTATGGTTCACTGGCGGATCACGAATTAAATTCTCTTGATTTTTGATATAAAAAGTCCAATGTATTGATAGATTTATTTTCTAG